TAAATCTAACATCATATTCAAGTGTACATCTATTCTTATTAGAAATTGAAATAAAAAAATACATTTACATCATCCATACAAGGACATATGATGTGGCACACTTTTGTATGGATGCATATTGCCTTTACAAAATGCCATTGAACACCCGCCATCATCGGCCCTTCGTTTGATGTATGCTGGCGGTCCTTTATTGCATATCAACCATTATCGGCTTCTCACTCAACTACTCATAGTAGCACACCCTCCAATCTCTCCTTCAGCTATCCACTTGATCGTTGACTGCCAACGAACTTCAACTCGACCGTCTATCGTCCATGAACTTCTTCTCAAATAGCGTCAAAATTCTCCTCGTCTACTCACCACTTCTAGTTATCCTCCCGTCATTGGACTTCTGCCCGTTACAGAACTTTCGTCGGAATTCCACCGGATGCTGAGCTTCCTCCCTTCGCAGGACTTTTGCTTATCATGGGACTTTCGTCGGAATTCTACCCGACATTGAGCTTCCTCTCGTCGTTGGGATTCTACCCGTTACAGAACTTTAGTCTGAATTCCACCTGACGTTGAGCTTTCTCCCGTCGCAGGACTTCTGCACGTCGCGGGACTTTCGTCGGAATTCAACCCGACATTGAGCTTCCTCCCGTCGCTAGACTTCTACCAGTTATGGGACTTTCATTAAACTTCCAACCATATGTTGACAATCGTCGATTTTCTCCTGATTGCAGGATCTCTTGAGGAGGGAGGTGGAAGAAGAGCGGCTGTAAAAAGTACTTCTACATAAGAAGAGGGGCACTTATTTTTAGTATGGAAAATCACCTACAAAAAATAGTGGAAGACCTCTAGAGCAAGAAGAAGATGGGGGAGAAAGGAAAGAAAATGCTACAAAAATTCTAACTTATATATAATGAGAGGTGCACTGATTTTGCATAGGGAAAGTCACCTACGAAAAACAGTTGAATGCCCCCACTGTTAGAAAGTTAGAATGAGGGAGGAGAAAGAAAATAAACGGCTGCAAAAAGTCTAATTTTTACACAAGAAGAGGGGTGCTGATGTAAGTAGGGAAAGCCACATATATAAAATAGCAGAATGCCTCGACTGTAAGAAGATAACAAGAGGAAAAAAATTCTATCTTTTGTATAAGAGGGGCGTTGATTTAAGTTGAGAAAGTCACTTACATAAAACAGCGAAATGCCTCCACTGTAAGAATGAGCAGTTTCCTCTCTGACCCAAGGGGGTATTTATAGCATTTTTTGGAAGAGGATAAGCTTCAGGAAGATTATGTAATTTTTTAGAATTTTTTGGATTTTTTTCAAAATTTTCTTGAATTAAAAAAATTAATAACTACTGGCGCAAACCATGCGGGACGCGCCTGTTTGCGCGTGGTGCGCTTCTCTCCGCCAGCAGTGGGCGGCGGCTGGCCAGCCGGTTCGGCCGCCCAAGCTTGTGCGGGCCCAATTTTCGGCCTGGACAGTCCAAATCGGACATTTTTGGGGTCCCCATACACGTTTTTCAACGTTCCAAACTCAATTTTGACACTTTTAGAGCTCAATGGGGTCTCCATGATTAAGTTTGAGAAAATTATAATTTTTGGAACGCAATTTTTTACGATTGGGCCAATATAAAATATTGAAAAAAGTATTTTCGGACTTCTGGAGCTTCGGAGTCCGAAAATTGGGGGCAACTGATATGTCATTAAAAAATTATCCTGACCGGACACGAATCTCGAGGCAAAAATCAAGTTGAAAACTTCAAAAATTAAATCTGGGATCATCTAAACTCTGATTTCAACAAACTTATAGTCGAACTGATCGTCTCGGAAATGCAAACCCTACGATATAACATTCGACTCAATCCAAGCTCAAATGGGTCCAAATCAAGGACCTGAAGCGCTATTGGAAAGTTCGAACCACAATTTGGGTTACCAAACAGTTTCCAAATATGACATGCTTATAGTCGAATCGAGCGGCTCGACGTGACGAATCCAACGAGCCAAAGATCGCCTACTTTCGATATTATTAAGACCTTCAAATGTCTGATGAACTGTCCACGATCAAGGGATTCAATATCGGCCGTCCATCCAATCGACTCCATCTTTGCCCTTGATCTTCCTCCTATTTACAGGTCATGCCATCCTCAAAAAACTATAAATAGCCTCTCATTTCTTTTAAGAGGGGACCCCAAGCAAGAATAAGAAGAGAAGAAGGAGAAGAGAAGAGAAGAAGGGACGGAGGGAAGAAACTCCTCGACCACCGTCAGAGTTCCGCCCGACGTTCAAGTGACGTCGGAGTTTCGTCCGATTTCCAAGTGACGCTGAAATTTTGCCCGACTTTCAAATGACGGCGAAGTTCCTCTCGACTTTCTAGTGACGCTGAAACTTTGCCTGATCTCCAAGTGACGCCGGAATTGTGTCTAATCTCTAAGTGATTCTGGAATTCAGCTCGAATACACAACTTGTTTGTAATTGAATTTCAATCCGGGAGTGAATCATTGTAATCTGATGGTCCTAAATTTTAAGGACGAGTCAGCTTCTTGTACCTCATACAAACACTAGTGGAATTCTTTCAACTGGGCATGACCCCATGATTTTTTTTCCCTTTCTAAGATTTTCCACGTAAAAATACTGTCGTTCTTTCATCTTCTGTTTGTGTGCTACATATCCGTACAACGCTGAGACGAAAACTTCATAACTCTATCGCCGCGTATATTCTAGCCCGCAACAAATAGAAAAAGAGATAATGTATATTGTAGATGTGAAACTCAAGAGAGATTTATTTCCAATAGTTATATTATTTCTTTGTAAAATGAATTTGGATTTTTAATGGCTCTGTCAGACTTTCTGTTTGTTAGAAATAGTTTGTTATTCATAATATTAGTGAATAAAATTTAATTATTTGTTTGATCATATGTTCGCACTTCGTTAATTCAAGCATTTGAGTGGGGTCATGACACCGACAATTTGGATGGTAACAATGGTTGGAGGTTGCAAGTGAGTTCGTCTGAGCTTGTGGAGGAGAAGAGTGAGTGGTTTGGTCGGTTGGTGAGTGAGGGTGTTAAGTGGGAAGGAAATTTGGGCTAGCACTGGCAATTCTACTAACCATACATGACATATTGTTTTATATAATGGCTTTTGATTACTCACAAAAGCATTTGTCCGGTATGGTTGTTTGTAAGTCAGTAGAACTTTATTGGTTTTTGGCTAGCCGGGGTCGACGGGCCCCAGAGTGACGACTTTACAGGAAATCTTTGGATTTCCTTGGGTTGGTGTTTAAAATATTAAAGTGATTTGGCATCATCAAATATTTGACATATATTCATGCATATTAAAATATGTTGTAGAAAACATCGCATATCTCATGATAGTTTTTGATATAGTGATTATAGGTCCATACTCCCCTCTTTTGGTTGCTCATATTGCATGCCCTATTTCTTTTGCCATTTATGCTTTAATAGATAGTAGTTATTTGCTGAGTTTGCAAATTCAGTCGTTGTCTTTTTTAGCATGTCCTACAGGTGTGTTTGGTAGACCGCCACCTCAAGAACAGTGTTACCATCAATAGACTATTTTTTTGTTGTAATTATTATGTTTATATTTATGTTTTTTGAGGATTGGGTAGTTTTTTTTCCTACTTTTTTATTATATTTATATTTTTGCTGGCTTGTATCAAAATTTGGTTATTTGGATGCATTGGTTATTTAAACTTCTATTAATAGATTGACTTTGTTTACTTCCTCTGTTTACTCTGATGTATATATCATGTTGTATCTCTTGTATATGCATATTATCTTTGTGAATACAAAACAAATTTTCTTATCTCTTAATTGCATCCCGTGTTGCCGGGTTTACCGCCTTCCGGACCCGGGGTGTGACATTTTTGAAGGGTTGCGTCCTTCGAGGTTATTTTACTTCACTGTCTCTTGTATTTTGAGTATATAGATATTGATAATGGTGCATGTGATTAGAGAAGCAAGGAGGGAGTGAGAGAGAAGAGAGATATGTACTTATTTCTCTCAATTTTCATAGTGAATTTTTAAGTGTGGTGTGGCTCTGTGGTTTTTTCCCTATTTTAAATTTTTTCATGTTAAATTCTGGTATCCTTTACTTTTCCGTTGCTTTTACTTTCTTGCTTGTTTCGTCATTGTGGTGTTTACTCCTCATCATCCCCGACAGCCAGGGCTCTCGGGTACACTGTGTTGGGGCATTGCACGCGAACCCAAGTTGGGGAAAGACCCTCCCCTCCCGGGATTGATCAACACAATTAGATTCCACACAAAACTAAAAAAAGAAAGGGGAGGTCAAATAAAATCACACATCACATTGGGATAGAGACTTAAAAATTGGAAAATTCTAAAAGTTCTGATATTAGTTCATTCTTCAATACATCTTATTTGAATTATTTTTATGAACCTGTTATCAGGGCAAGATTATGTCCAATTCTAAAAGTGGATATTAAACGTCTGGTATGCTTTGACGTAACAAACCTACTTATGATGATTGATTAATTACTTCTTTGCCGGCACAATAGTTATGCCTAGATTTACATGATAAATGATGGGCTGATTAATGTGAAATCTTTTCATCCATGTTCTAAATTATATTAAAGGCTAAATCACTTATATTTCCTTCTCTTCAATAACTTTCCTATTTTAGCTTGGAGTCGATATTATCGGTTTGTGAATATCTTTATTATAGTTGTAATTTGATGTTGTGTTGTGCATCTTGTCTTCATGTGCATAGGTTGATCTTCTGTTGATCTTCTGCTTGCACGTTCCCTTTTATTCCCTTCTTTGTTTAAATCCCGATTTGTGCACTATAGCGAAATCGAGTGTTTCTCTTGTATGCATTGAGTATTTAAATCCCGATTTGTGCAAGTTTCATTTTTTTTCCGTTTTTTCATCAAAAGAGAAAAGTTTGAAGAGTTATCATAGACTTTAGCCTTGTGATTCTTTATTTGTATTGATGTCCTTTCTAACTGCGTAATGGGATTTGAATTCATTCTTTTCAGAGCAAAGCCTCATCAGATAAGTCTCGGTGGAGTTTTCGGAAGAGATTATCTGGGCCTCGAGTGCTGAGCAAGAATGCCATTTTGGAGCCTGACACTGGTGACTATAATAAGGATAGTTTGGAGGCAATCTCAAGTAGTTTCAATTCAGGTATGAATGTATGTGTTTCAGAAAAGGGCTCCATTCAGAAGAATCCCTCTGAGGAAGAATTTCTTGTAGGACCAGCACAATCATCCACTGCAGTCAATTCCAAAGTTTCTGCAATAGTTGGACTAAATGGTGCCAGCAATGACGAAAATATTCAGGAATTTGCAGCTATTATCATCCAGGCAGCTATTAGGGGCCATCTGGTATCTATTCTATTATTCTTTTCATTTTTATCTTTTATTTTTCTTGGATTATATGAGGCAATTCTATTAATTTTAATGATTTCTTCTATATTTAAAAAACCCTCCAGGCTGTAAAAAGACTTAGAGAGGTTAAGTATGTTATCAAGTTGCAAGCTGCTGTGCGTGGACACCTGGTCAGAGCACATGCAATTGGTACTTTACGCTGCATCCGAGCAATTACCAAAATGCAAGCAATTGTTCGGGCTCGTCTTGCAAGTCCGTTGCATGAGAAGGTTGTTGGCATAGCAGATAAAAAACTTGGAACGAACAGAAATAGCTTATACCTCCTGGTAATTCCTTCTTAGCTTACAAATTTTTTTGGCAATGCAACATCATTATCATTCTAAAGCTGCAGCAGTAGTTACTAAATAGTGTGCTAATATTGCGTCTTTTGTGTCTTGAGTATTATAATAAATTGTAGCCTCATATGCATTTCTTTGATTAAACCCCTTTGTGCAAAGAAAAAAATGCTATCTTGTTAGATCGTCCATTAGAAGTTCCTTGCCCTGGCTGATGCTGCTTTCTTCTTTTAGAATTGTGTTAGTCCCTTTTTCTAGAAAAGTCAACCCATCAATGCGGTTCATTCATTTATTACATGTCAATAATATAATACAGAAGTGAAGTTCCCTACTTGGAAAAATACAGATAAATCAGCTAGTATCTGCTAAATCAATAAAAAGTACAAGATACATGCCATCATTGGCACAATATGTGATAAAATAAAAGAGGTGTGCAAGTTAGAAAAGCCTGTCCTTACTGGAAAGGAGTCGGGCGCTGGCTTCATTCAACCTATCATCTTTGGTGTCCTGACCTAATCATGCTGTTTGCACAAGACGGACTATGTTGTTGTGATGCTTCACCAACTATAGTGCAACACACGATCCTCTATAGTATGAGCCCTGCTTCATTCCTCCACTTATATGCGATGATGTTGACAATTACTGGTTGCTCATTCCCAATCATGTCCTTCCACATAGATTCATTTGCCAGACAATATTATCAATATTAGATACCTTCTCCCATAAGCTAGCTTGTTGATAACTGATTGGTTTGATGGCCCATAGCTTATCACAAAAATTTGAAACCCATAGCTTGTTGAAACCACTTCACTTCTTTTTGCAAGTTGAAACCCTACTTTTTAATTCCTGAAGTTCTTAAATGACTTTCCTTAGTGCACAACCCAACAATCAAGGGAATAATTACATAAGTCTATGTAGCTATTTTAAAATTTTATTTACATGAAATTTCAAATTAAATTTTCATTAATGATTTAACTCTTACCAAAACTTTCCCAAGAACTGGTGCATGCTTTCGATATTTTATCTCGGTTATTTAGCTCAATTCTTTCACTGTTCAAAACAACATTAAAAATATTAAATATTATTAAAATTAACCTTGGAGAAGTTGAATGCATAGATCGTCGTCAAAGACAATGTTGAATGCCTCTAGTTATTAACTCATATTTCTAATTAAGTGGCAGATTATATTCTATGAAAAGATCAATTGATAATTAATAAATTGTATTGTGCACCTCAAATATGGATTAGAGAAAGTCACCTTAGATGATTTGGTCGCATAAAATGGCGGCCTTCCGATGACCAGGTTAGGAGAGTAGATGCATTAAGGCCAATTAAGGCAAACTCACACACACATCACATACGCAATATTTGAATCCAAGACATTTTAGTTGGTAGCCAAAGCTCTAAACTAATAGACCAAAGAGAGCTGCTTGTGGTTGTTGCTCACCTCAAATACTCTTCTTTTTCCTTGAGTTGAGATCACAAAGATCAAAAGCCATTCGTTCTTCTTTCCTGCCGAATGCCAACACATAATTTAATCGAATCAAATTGACGAATAACTCTTCTCCAATATTAAGTTTTATTTACTTTCATCTCCTTTGACCTTATCGAAATAAAAAAAAAGCACGTCTATGCAATGCCCTAATGAGAGAACTTCTCTTTTTCCTCTCAATAGACCCACTACATCTTTTAGAATCGAATAGCCATTCTCTTTGTCGATCAAAGCACAAAAACCTCTCCTTTTGTTTTCGTCAAACAACAACCTGATGCAGACCTTCTTCTCTGCCAATCAAAACCATGAATCTGCCACGCAACCTCTTCCTTCACATGCAAACCCCTCTCTGTATCGTGTTCAACTTCAATGAATTGAGTGTAGTCAATTTGTCTAATGCGAGGTGTGCCTCTCGTGCTCACCTGCTTTTGTTACTTTGCTTTGCTTCGCTTGTTCACAAGTTTGCTTCGCCCAGGCTCGACCTTGCTTGATTAATTATTCTACGGGACTGGTTCGGATGAACCGATCCGGCTGTCTCTCACACTTAATGAGGCGTTAATTCCCCATTATAAGATCAATGTGAGAAATTTATACTATGAGCCCTTTATTTGGTCTATTGAGTTAGTTACTGTTTAATGATGACCCACAAATGAAAAATATTTCATCTAGCCCTCTATTGTTTGCAGTGAATAAGTGCCTTCAAGCGCTGTATTTTAATGTGTTAAGTTATTAGTGAAAAAACATTCCAATTTGATTTTAAGATGTTCTAACAATGGAGGCGAAATCTTGACTGGCTATTCCTCCATCGCCAACCTTATTCTATATTCTTCTATTATCTTGATAGTCGGAGAAGGATATATTGAGGTATATTAGTCAAGCTGCGTCATAGCTTTTTTTTACTTCCCCTTTAAATAATGAATCACCGCAATAAAAAAAAAAAAATTCATCATAAATTTTAAGCTGCAAATATTGTTGCCAAGCATGCGAAGAAAAGTTGTCATTCTTTGTTTCTTTTTACATGAAAGGTTTTTCCCCTGTAGACCAAAATACTTATCCAATTAGTATGTCAATTTGATGAAAGTTACGTCTTTCTCCAGGGAAAATATAACAGCTGCGAAGGAACTAAAAGTTCTTATTCAACGAAGAAGCTTCTTTACAATAGATTTGCTCAGAAGGTATCTTTTGCATAGGAATTTTCTTTTCTTTCTCCCTGGTTTTCTTTTAAATTATCGTTTTTGACACGTACTTGCAAAATTTGTCAATAAGATGCTAGTCTCCGCACCAAATACCAGGCCTATCTATATAAAGTGTGATCCTTCAAAATCAGATGCGGTATGGAAATGGCTAGAGAGGTGGATGACAATAGTCAGTTCACACACTGAAGAAGAAAATAATGAAATTTTCAATCCTGCTGATAAAGAAGCCGGGAAAAGCCCCAATTTAGCTGGCAATGAAGAAAAGAAAAACGATTCAGCTAATTCAAAATCAGGTCCGAGTGAATTTGTGGTAACATCTGACTGTAAAAGTGATCTGAATGCGACAAGTGAGAGTAATCTAGGAATTAGATCTTCTGATTGTCTTTCTGGCAGTTGCGTCAGTTCAGTAGAGAAGGATGAAGAATGTGATACTGAGATTAGAGAAGTTTCTAAACAATCAGCTCTTGCACCACAACGACCAGATGGTTATTCTTCCAATAAAAACGAATCTAAAGGCAATAATTTGAATAACCCTTCAAAAAAGGAGCAACATGGACCATCAGAGATTGAAGCACAAAAGTTTGCTATCCGGTCACGGAGGCCCTACAATCCAGCATTTGCTGCTGCTCATTCAAAATTTGAAGAGCTGACCTCTAATACCAAAAAAGTCAAGTGTATTAGCTCTGTTAGTTCCGCTTATCAAGATTCTGCAGCTGATGCAAGGGTTGGTAATTATCATTCCCAGGTGAATATGCATAAGGAAGCCGCACGAGATCCTGTTATTCAAGTTGCTGCTTCTGAATGTGGGACGGAAATTTCTATTTCCTCCACGCTAGACTCACCAGACAGATCAGAAACCGAGTGTGGAGAAATTATTTTGGAAATAGGCTCAATTGATAAACATAATTATGATGATGCTACTACTTGTTCTGATAATCTTTTCATTCTTGCAAATAAGGGAGCTGAATGGCAAGAAAGCGAACCAAACAAGCTTGAGGAAGCTCTAATATATGCACCCCCTTCATCTGGAGCTCTTGATATGGCTCTATCAGCGCAACAACTGGCTCCTTCTGTTGAAGGAACTCCTAGAAGTCACGCTGCTGCACTTGAGCCATATGGTACTCCATCAAGTGAAATTTCAGTAAATGCTGGAAGTAGAAGTAAAGATTGCAACACGCCCAGCCAGAGGCAGAGGCTTACAGGAGCTGGAAGAAAACTTGCCTCCAGAGCTACTAGTGATTCTACTGCAAGACAGAGCAGTGAAAATTTATCAAATGGCTCAAAGAATGAAAAAATGAAGAAATCTGCTGTAGTCTCTGGAACTGATCTTGATGATGAGCCCAGAATGAGCAATAGCAACAGCAGTTCCCTTCCAAGTTACATGCAAGCTACCAAATCAGCCAGGGCCAAGGTCTATGCAAATAATTCTCCAAAATCAAGCCCAGATTTGCATGATAAAGATAATCGCATTAAGAAAAGGCATTCCTTCCCTATTGTCGATGGAAAGCAGGCTTCATCCCCACCTAAGCAGCGGCTCACACCAAGAGCTCCACAGAATCCAAAGAGCGATGGCATTCATGCCCCTCATACTTCTGCTGGTAATTTCTCGGACTTCTATTACTAATGCAGATTCTACCATTGTTCAGCTGAATTGTAAAGAAGATTAATATTTTTTTTAACGGTTAGAAACTATCTCAAAAAAATTATTAATTTTAGGGAGAGCACAAGACCAATTACAGAAAATGGATACGAGGCTATTTACAGATAAGGAGGTCACAAAGTTAGCTTCAAATAAATTTCATGTAGGGAGCTAGTGAATATTAAGTTTTAAAAAAAACTCTCAGGTCAGACTCGAACTTATGATTACCACTCTAGGAGTTAGGGAACATACCTTTGGAGCTAGAGCTCCTTGATTGTAATGAAGATTGTGTAAAATTAAAATGTTAGGGAGTGCATTAAAAGGGAGACTAAAGTTGAGTCTGATACATCAACAGTCAAATTCATTTTAAACCCATTAAATTAAGTCTATTTTGGATGAGGGGTGGCCATTTGCTATTTCTATACCATCATATTTTTCACTTATTCAATATGGAAGTATATCTAATATTATTTAATACCTTAAAAATATTCTAAGAAGTTCTACAATTAAGGACAATTATTTTTTCTTTTAAGACTGAACTTGATTTACCATTCACCTGAACTTAGGCCTGGTTTAGCAGAATTCGTTGAAAAATTCTACTTCGTCAATCTAAATTAGGGGTGCAAACAAGTCGAGTCGAACTCGAGTACTAACGAGCTCGAGCTTGGTACTCGAGCTCGAACTCGGCTCGAAATTTTTATTTTCGGCTCAAACTTGACTCGTTAGCTTGAGCTCGAATAAGAAGCTCGAACTCAGCTTGTTTATAGGCTCATTAGTTTGATATGGAGTGTATTTTTTTTATTTTTTTATGTTCTCAATTTTTGTAGGTTTCACACTGCTAAAATGTTATTTAAACAAAAAAACAAGCATTTAAATTACTGTTGTGACATAAATTCCAAACAATTAACACTAATATATAGGAAGGGATCCACATGCAGGTTACTAGTTTGAAACATTATTTCTTTCAAGCACCATATGAGACAACAATAGTATCATTCATCCACTTTAAAGTAAAACAAAATTTTACATTAAAATAGTAGTGAAACAAAATTGCTAAGCAACATTAAATGTCTATTAGCAAATTTTTAACAAGGTTCACTAAGCAAGAACATTGTATGAAAGTTCACGTAGTAATAATAAAGTTTACAAAAAAATCTCATATAGCCAATGTTCAATTGACAATAAATCTCCATTATCTTTTTCTTTTTGCCCATGTACAAGCACCTTCAAATAGCCAATCTGCAAATGAAAAAATAAAAGGCTTAAGTATTTTGATAATTGTTAATAGAGAAAATGTGTAGAGGGATCTTCTACCTTTTAAGATTCTTCTAACTTATAAGTAGCGTTATCTCAACCTCTTCATCCTCCTCCTCTTCCTTTAAGTAAATTACATCCAATGTTAGCATTAATATTACAAAATAAGAAACTTTAAAATAAAAAATTATACCAAATCATTATCTTCATCTTGATTTTTTGACTTAAATCAGGATGAGAACATTCGACTTACAGTCACAGTCATGTATGAAATTCTCTAAATGGATATCAGTGTAAAGCTTAATCTTGTTATGATTTTTAATGCATTACGTAGCCTCTTTCTTCTCCTTTTCATATACTAACATCAGGTCATTACGAATTGTTGTTCTACTATACTTTATAAAATATGGTGACATGGTCTTTAATACTAAATAAAAGACAAACTCTTCTGCAACTGAAAATGATTTTTATTTATTAAAACGTAATGGACAATCCTTTCTCTAACTTTTGAGAACCTGTGCTACCTAAGCATAATTTTTTCTTGCAGAGAACATTCAACTTTCTTCTGACCATCAGTGACGGTTATTTCCTTAAATTCATCCCACATTGTAGTGTTTTTTTCCTTTTTTGTTGTCTATTGGATTCTCTGTTGTATTTTCATTGGTCTTTTCGTTATCTCAACAATTATTATCCTGATTGTCTCCCAACATATTTTCATTTTCCTTATGATTGTCTGATTGCTCTTCACTAGTTTCTGAACTGAAGTGCCCAGTAATATTATCTTCAACAACTAGCTCTGTCGACATCCTATCTAAAAAAATACCCATCTGTTTAAACCCTAAACTAGCAGACAAACTTCACCTCATGATAAGCAACAAAAACATAACAAATCACTAATTTAGTTTTCTGTGAGAGCCTAAGAAAACATTCAAGAACACAAAATAACCTAGATGATGCTTTATCAATTCAATACAAAATTCCACCGAATCATAATTTCCATCTCAATTCCATAAAAATCACTCAATAACCAGCAACAACCAAGCCAAAAGGAAATCGGAGGAGTTCAATAGAAAAAATAATGATAGCCAGGGCGACTGTCCATCCAAAAGGATAAAACTCATAAAACATTGCATGAATATTTCTTCAATAAAATGATCCAAAGCTCAAACCATTTTGAAACTCAAGGCATAAATCATTCAGAAATAAAACTCATAAAACATTTTGAAACTTATGTTTGGATGAAGATGAATGACCTAAAAAAAGCTAAAGAAAGAATTTAATACCTTAGAAAATTTTGTTGGGATGAAGAAGATGAACGACCTAAAAAAACCCTACCGAATCGTGACTGTCTGTCTCGAACAAACGAACCCCTCATTTTTTTGCTGCAAATTTGGTAAAACTCAGACTTGATGTTCTTGCAAAATAAATGAAATTGTTGAGAATGAGATACAAGAGAGAGATGACATACCTGAAAAAAAAAATTCGGTCACCAATGGGATTTCTCCTCGTTACGCTCAAGAATCATAGCAATATGGATGAGTGGCTTTACCCTTAGAGATACGATGCGAAATGACCATATACGTTAAAAGGTTGAAGAAGCTCCAGTGGAAGATAAGATTTAGAGAGAGTCACCTTAGATGGTTTGGTCACATAAAACGGCGGCCTTTCGATGACCCGGTTAGAAAAGTAGAGGTATTAGATTTGACTTGTGTTAAAAAAGGTAGAGGTAGACCTAAAAAGACTTGGTTAGAAAGTATTAAAAATGATCTTTCTTTATTAGATTTAATTGAGAATTTGACTTTAGCAAGACACAATGGAGAAAAAGGATTCATGTAGCCGACCCCACGTAGCGGGACAAAGGCTTGATGTTGTTGTTGTTGTTGTTGTACGCTCAAGAACCATAGCAGCAGAAAACCTAGAAGAGCTGCAACTTTGCATGAGAGAAAGAAAACCTAATAGGGCGGTTCGGTTTGAATAGAAGTTTTAAAGAAACGCTAAGGCTGGTCGCTCGATTCGGATTCAGCCCATCCGGGTTTGAGTGGTCCACAATCCGTTAGTTGCCTAGTCCGTTATCCGCTGTCCACATTCGGTACCTTTTCGAGCGGCTCGACGAGTACTCAAGCTGAGCTTTATTTTGATCGAACTCGAGCTCGATAAGCCAACAAGCTCGAAAAACAACTCAAACTCAAACTCAAAGCTTGACAAGCTTAACTTGTGAGCTCATTAACGAGTCAAGTTCGAGCGGGCTCGCGAGTCAATTTAACTCATTTGAACCCCTAATCTAAATCAATTGGACTTCATAGCTAGCACTGATGTTGCATGCTGCTTAATATCAGACAGTTAGATGTCCATCCAAGGATTTTTTGCTTTTGCTGAATTCAATCATATATAAAAGATCAAACAAAAAATAAAGTAAACTTGAGATTAAGCCTTAAGATGTTTCATTGGTAGTTGGCCATGTCTTTAGTCTTTTATTACTGTGAACTGATTTGATGGCACAATTTTGTTCCTAGAACTCATGTAAGCTTTATATTCGTGAGTATATCTAAGGCTTCGTTTGAGATGGCTTTCTTAGTGCTTCTTAAAATAAATTTTTAGTACAAAAAATATAATTTTTGTACACAAGAAAGCTGCTTTAAGCAGCAGTAAAAAAGTCGTACCAAACAAAGCATAAGTTTCACTGCGGTCGAACTTGACTTTCTGAATCCCTGCACACATAACTGATTTCCAAAAATGAGTTACTCTATATGACCCATCTTGAAAGTTGCGGTCAAATTATATATATATGATAGATTGAGCGACTCGAATGTTGCTCACGCAGAAGGCACTAATGTCCTCAACCGATGTGCCACAGCACGAGCCTTGTCAAATTATATTACTAAATATATATGAAAGGTAGAGTTAATGAATGGCATGCAACCAAAGATCAGGTCAAAAGTATAGAAATGATGTAAAGCTTCGTTTGGGACTGCTTTCTTGATACTTCTTAAGGTTGCTTTCTAATATAAAAATTTAAATTTTTGTACTAGAAAGCTACTCTACGAAGCAGCGAGAAAGTAGTCCCAAACGAAGTCTAAATCAGATTTCGAAAAATTATTTTAGAAAGCAACAAAAAAACCTAATTTTTTATAAACATTATCTACTTCTCAACATTATCTACTTCTCCAATATTCTAATGGCATTTTTTTTGTCTTAAACTAACTTCGAGTTTTTTTTCAGAAAGGAGATGGCAACGATGATTTCGAATCTTTGATCCCTTTCAGAAAGGGCGCTTCAGGACTAAATCGCTATCATGTGGCAACTCATCAAAAAGGCATTTTCATTATGCTTTCAAGTGTCTATATATAGAGTACTCTAGTTTTTCAGGATTGTGTTCCCTCATTGAAACCAGTAAACATGTTTGATATAAGCTAAATATGCTAGTTTCGTGATTATACTGTAATAAGTTGAAATGATATAAGCTATTTCTCTTTTTATAAATCTATGCGAATGCACAAATGGTCTACTTAATGTAGGCTGCGAGCCTACAAAGCTGGGTCTATCTTGGCAGTCTAATAGCTAGCGCACCCCCATTGTGACGCCGAACGCCGAACGCCGAACGCCGTCCAAAGCCCAATAAAAATGTGCCACATCACCCCTACTCGGTACCGAGCTCGATACTGCTCGGTGCTGGATGACGTGGCTGCACCTGATTCGTCTCTCGAAGGTAAGTTGTGTCTGATGTCCGCACTGAATATTCTCTCCACTTGATGGCAGAAATTATCAGGTCGATACTTACTAGTGTCATTGAAAGCCTTGTTCTAGCTCTATCTGAGATATGAAGACGGTCTTAGCAAGGTAAACCATTTTTATTTTGTTTAAGACCATTCTGTTCAATTTTAAAATTTTGACTTTCATTTACTAAATCTACTTAAATGCTTACTGTATCTAGTTTTTCTATGTGCAGTTTGATTTTTCTCAAGCATTTTGTCAGGCTTCAGTATGACGGCAGTAAGTGATAAATATATTGCATTTTAGTTTATTACTTGCAGATTTTTTTAATTTGTTGTGGTAATTGTTGGCGTGAAAAAGCCTTGAGACTTGATTTTATTTGGTAGAAAAAGGAGAGATAAAACTATAGTTTAGGGTAGTCAGGAAGGCGTATTCTTGGATGAATTATTCTATGCGGACACCGAACTGGAGAACCGTCCGATGTTCTCTCTGTCTATAGTAAAAGTGCAGATCATTGCGCTTTTACTGTAAACAAAAATAAAACCAGACAGTTATCCTTGTCTGGTGTCCATGCAGAATAATTTCTCCTATTCTTAAAGATAATTTTCGTCTATTTTTTAAATATTGATAATTAAGTTGATAAAAAATAGCATGGCTTGTTAATGGTGAATGAGAAGTGTGCATTGATGGGCATATTAAATGAAATCAACAAAGATTGATTTTTTTTAGGTAGAGTGGAACCAGTTTCCGGTCTTCACAAACTTTGCTGCTAACTGCAAAACAGAATTATTTTAGAAGAAACCCTACATAAGAAGAAGAGAGGAAAATAAGCTATATTAAAGCATTTGCATATTTAAGGTTTTAGTTGTGATATCTTTTTTAATGTTTTCAAAAATAAATTCTTAGTGCAAAAATTTCTAGTTTAAGAAATTTGTCATAAAAATATTGTCACAACCTGATAGTTAAGAGATTATACCTTATTGGGATACCAAGTAAGCAGATCTGTAAATAAATTATAAGTTTTATTAGGGGTGTCAATTTTTGACACGACCCGAAACCCGACCCGAACCCGACCCGAAAAAATTCGGTTTCGGGTCAACTCGAAACGGGTTGGGTTTGGGTTCAACAAATTAACTCGTTTTAAAAATCGGGTTGAGTTTGGGTTGACCCAGTAACCCGAAATTGACCCAAAAGTGACACGAAAACTCATATTTGACCCGAAAACCTGAGATCGACCCGAAAATTGAATATTGTCCCGAAAATTAACAATTTTAGGTCGGGTCATTCGTGTCGGGTCGGATTGATGGTTCGGGTTCAGAAACCTGACCCATTTTTAAAAAACGGGTCGGGTTCGGGTTGACCCGAACAGTGCCGGGTCAGTTTCGGGTTCGACCCGAACCCGACCCGAATTGACACCCCTAAGTTTTACATATGTGGTTGAATGAAAAGTTCAAATTACAACTAAAACCCAAGAAATTTTCATCAAGGATATTAAGGACAACCTAGCATGCTTACATGTAAAGCTCACACACTTCTAAAATAGAAGACTAGGAAAGGAAAAAGTGGTAAATTTTTTTGTGATATAAATAGTTTCGAAAGAATTTAATCATAAAATTTGTTAATAATATACAATTATGTAGGATTTATCTAAAATTTTAAAAAGCGAGAACCACCTAATCCCTTCTTGATTCGACCATTAAAAGGTAGATTAGGTGTGCATGTTATGAATAAGCAATACATACAAAAAAAAGGTTTATCAATCAATATAAGATATTCTCGTGTCCTAACATGCATGCCACAAAAAAAAAAAAAACTCGTTGGGGTCCTTATATCATCAAGTTAGGCTTTTAATAAATGTCATCTTTTGGGTCCACAACCCTTCTTGTGATTCGTGAAGGGCAATCTTTTAGGGGAAATTATTAGGTCCGGTCACCTGATACAGAGATACATCCGGATTTGTCTGTTTACAGTAAAAGCGCAGTCAAAGCGAAGCTGCTATAGTAACTGTGCTTGGACTGCGCTTTTACTATAGATAGAGAGAAATCCGGATGTATATCTCTGTTAGGTGACCGGACCTAATAATTTGCCATCTTTTAGGGTCCAAATCTATTAGGATTGCATATTGCTCATCTAGAATTTATAACCTCAATTGATTCCTCTCTCTTGATTTCAAACATTTTCTTTTTATATATGTATCCAACATTTTTTTTTTGTGATCATAAGAAACCCATTCATAAGAGGGAATTTTATGGGACTATGAATACTTTGATAACCAATTTGTTAGAAATTCTTTATTGTTCATTATAGTCTTTTATGACTTAATTTTAAAGAAAGTTGTAATCCAATATTATTAGAAAATATAAAATAGAATGCAAAGCTCATAATTTTTTAATTTAATAATTATAATACAATATAAATTTGCTTTGAATTTTTTCTTATATATATTTTTATTTTTTTTATAAGTTTGTCATTTCTAAAAATTAAGAATGGCTCCCTCCCGTGATTATAATCATACATCTTGAAAATATTAGATAAAATAAATCAGCTTGAACACACATAATGATAATAATAATAATGTATGTTGACTAGGTATGTAACTGAGCCAAGCTAGCTTTTGAGCTAGTTCTAGCTCAACTCATTAAAGAGCTCGTGAGTCGAGCTTATTGAGCCAGCTTTTGAGCTAGCTCGTGCTCGACTTGATTAAATTAAAATGTATTTGCTAAATAATTTAAATTAACATTACTAATATATTTTGATAATTTTAAATTAATTAGATATTAAAAAATAAATATTCTAAAAAAAAACTTAATTTTTTAATTAAAAAATAAGAAATTGAGCTCAACAATCAAGTCTGAGCTCGAGCTTTCTAAACATGCTCGAGCTAGCGAGTCAAGCTGAATCTTATATATATTTTTAACGAGTCAAGCTCGAGCTCAATAACAACTAAACAAGCTTAATTTGATTAGGAAGATACTCAACTCGATTCCACTTGTTTACACCCACTTTCCAACTATGACGAGAAATATATTGTGGCATCTCTACAGAACTCATGATAATATATTTTTCTTATACGATAGCTTTAAGATCAATGGTTGGACCAATTTATAATCAATGCATCAAAAAAAAAAAAAAAAAAAAAAAAAAAAAAAAAAAAAAAAAAAAAAAAAAAAAAACAACAATAGCAAAAAAATCAAACAACAAATTCATTAAGCTTTAAGTAGTCGAAGATGTAAGATGTATCTTTAATAATGACTCGTTGTTAGAATTTGAAGACAAAAAATAAAAAGTCAAATCTTGATTTTAGCAGAGGAGGAGAAGAAGAAGAAATTTCATCAATTAAAATTTTTGGGCATCCATGAACCCATCATCCACGAACCCCACTCTGGGCTCCTAACCCAGTAACCTCCTGGCCTTTGTGTAATCAACTTTCAGGCTATCAACCGTCGTTGGACGAAAATTACTCTTATCAATCATCACATGATTTCTCCAATCCATCTATCAATCCCATTTTATTTTTCGGCGTAATTCAGTTAATCAATTACAAACTACAACCAGTATCACACCTCTAACCTTTTATTTAAAGGAAAGTTTATTGGTCTACCCTCTTGCAGAAGGTATTATATTTTAAAATCAGCCCATATTAATTATAGTGGTAATAATTAGGCTTTCTTGCTTACATGAAAATATAATATTTTTATATAAAATGTAAGTCAATATCATGTATGAAATACAATAATTAATAAAATGCACTGAAATATACAAAATTTATTTTATTACCCTTTTAATTCAGAAAATTATAACTTTCAATTTACTTGATGAAAATTTAATATATGATAGTCAAAATAATCATATTAAAGGCATCTATCACATCTCAAAAGTTATGCTGTGGAAATTTACTAAAAATTAAGATATCATAACTTTTGTAAGTTTTGACAAACCAACTTAAAATTCATAAAATCATTAAAATCAAATTTAAGGTAATGGTAGAAAATACACATCATATATAGCACATTAAATGATGAGAATTGAAATAATCCAATTATATGAGAGTTATTCTCAAAAGAATGTTAGATTGTTCGTTTGGTCGGTAAGATCATAATCGACGGGTAACCATGGTTGGAGGACTGTAGTTAGGGGCAATGACGGTCGGAGGGGCCGTAGTTGACGGACGATGGTGGTTGGAGGGATTATAGTCAGTGGGAAACAGATGTCAGAGGGACTATAGTTTGCGGGCGACAGAGGTCAGAGGGATCGTAGTAAGCAAGCAACGATGGTTAGAGGGACTGTAGTGGGCTGATGAAGGCCTGACGAAGATTGCTAGAAGAAGATTTGAAGATGTTGGTTGGCAGAGGTACATAAGTGGCCCCCTGGTGGAAACGGTTCGCCGATGGTGGTGCCTAGGCGGAGCTCGGGGATGCTTCAAGCCTCAAAGCTCTCATGAGTCTCTAGCTCACGGTCTAAGCCTCCAAGAGTCCAAACCCCCTTCATGTGGGAAGAGGTGGTTTATTTAAAGATCTTGAGAGTGACAAACCCCTTAAATATGAAGAAGATTGAGGGTAGATTCAGAGTGCTTTATTGGACGGCTCATACTGATTCCCTAGAATATAGAGTGTTTAGCATTTAAGTATCTTAATGATGTTAGAATTAAGAGATCTTGAGCTCGTTGGATTATCCTCGTTGAGTAGTTTGATTTGACTATAAGCTTGCTATATTTGAATTTCATTTGATCATCCAATTAATGCACTAAAGCTTTCAAATATGCTTCAATTCTTTGATTTGGGCCCATTTGAACAGATTGTACCAATTTTGGTGTTATTGGGTTCGTCTCAACGAGACATCTAGTTTGAGTATAAATTTGTCGAAATCGAAGTTTGGATTGTCCCAATTTAATCTTGGAAGTTGCCAACTCATATATGCTTCAAGATTCATGCTTGATCAAAACGATTATTGATGACATATCAGTTATATTTAGCTTTAAGTCCATTCAATTAAAAATATATGTCACCTCTATGTTCAGTTTTAATTCAATTCAATATTTAATCTTTTAACCATCATATATATATATATATATATATATATATATTACTTTTTGAAATTTTGCAGTAGGTTTCTACATATAATCTCCTTTGATCTCCTTCATTCTTACAAATCCAAAGGTTGAAGACATTGCTCTCCTTGTTTTCTCAACGTTGAACAACTATACATCTAGTTAGTAATAATTTGGATTCTTTTTTCCATTTAATTTGAAAATTTTAACTGTGTTACATGGTTGACGAAGCAAGAAAATTGGAATGCTGATGAATGAACATCCAACCCCTTAATAGGTTGGTGCATAAAGAAAAGTACATGCTTAATATCAATTTTAGTGAGGAAAATACCTAACAAAACATGTATGTTGGACTAGTGTTAATGGAGAACACTACCCCCTCCCCCCCTCACCAAAAAATACCAATGACCTTGGAAGAGCAACACAAGTTTATATGATTAATTAGAGACAAGCAACAAAATGTAGTTGACATAGAGATTTTAGTGACATCTATGAATATTGAGAGGATGATCAAAATTAATAGGCATTAAAGAATGATACGTGGATAATTGACACAAATAAAATTGTTGTATGAAAACATGCTTAAGAATCCTAACTGTTTGTTAAATGACAAAGGTTGACCCGTCCCTTGACTTAGAGGCAGTAGAATGATAATAGTTTGGAAAGTTGGGTGAAGTTTCGGTGATGGTCGTGCGGATGTCCAATGACATCCAGGCTAAAGTTCGGTGGGCGGGCAGTGATCCGACGATGGTCAGGTGGGAGTTCGATGGCAATCGGTGGTCGGGCGGTTATTCGACGATGGTCGGGTGGAAGTCGGGCGACGGCGTTGGCCTGATGGTAGTCAAACAGCAGTTGGCGTCGGGGCGGTGGTCCGCCGATGGTCGGGTAGAAGTCTGGTAGCAGTCGGTGGCTGGGTAGTAGTCCGGTGGTGGTCGGCGGTTAGACGGTGTACAAAAATGGTCAGGCAAAATTCCAGCGGTGGTTGGTGGCTCAGTGGAAGTTTGGTGGAGATCGGCGGCCATTCGGTGGTTTAACGATGGTCAGGCAGAAGTCCAATGACGGTTGACTGCTGGGTGGAAGTCTGATTCTTCTTGGTGGCTGGTTGTGGTCTGATGATGGTCGGGGGGAAGTCCGACGTTGGTAAGCAGCAGGGTGGAAGTCTAGTGGTCATCGGGCAAGCGGTAGTGTGGTCCAGCGACGATTGACGGAGGTTCTCCGACGGTGGTGCTGGAGCTCTTAAAGCCTTAGAGCTCTCTCTAATCTCCAGCCAAAGGTCACCCTCATGTAGAGAGTGAGGGTATATTTATAGATTTTCATGAGTGACATACATTGTAATATATAAAGAATATTCAGAGCAGATTCAGAGTGCTCCATCGGATGACTCCTATTGATTCCCCTAATCATAGAACATTTTTTTTAAAGTGTTTAAGTGTCTTAACGATGTTAGAATTTAGAGATCTTGGGCTCGTTGGATTCGTCTCACTGAGCCACCACTCGATTCGATTATAAGCATGCCATATTTTGATATTATTTTGTCATCCAATTAATGCTTTGAACCTTCGGAATACACTTCAAACTCTTATTCGGACCCATTCGAGCTTGGATCAGGTCGATTTTGGTGTTGTTGGGTTTGTCTCTTTGAGATATTCATTTTGACTATAAGTTTGCTGAAATCAAAGTCATATGATCCCAAATTTAATTTTAAAAATTTTCAACTTGTATATGCCTAGAGATTCATGTGGGATCAAGTCAATTTTTGCTTACACATCAATCTTTAAACAATAACTCAAATTAGAGGTGACTGGAATGTGAGTGTGCTTCACATCCATAAGCCCAACAGGGTCAATTATTCTATCTTTTTCAAATTCACAGGTAAGGTAAGTATCCTATTTGATCGGTTGTCTTCAAATGTTTCGAGTAGTTTCATAATTCATTACGACCAACCCATTGAGCACAACCTATCTTCCCCTTCCCAACTTAACAGGTTGTCGTCCCCGAGCTCGAACTCCTTTGAGCTGTACAACAGCTAGGGTTTGTCTACGCCGTTTTGAGGAGGAAGACATAGCTCGATAATATGTTAAAGTTCTTATCCAAGGTCAAGATCGAATTCAATGCTCTCGACTCGCGAACGGCGGCTTGCATGGAGTTCATCGCCCAGTGCAATGCGGGGAAGGCCCGGGAGTCGAATCCGGCATGCCAGGTGCTTCTGAAGCGAAGAACAGACGACAACCCGCCACAGATCACGGTCACCTACGTGAACGGCGTCGAGGAGGTCATCGATGCAGCCTGCACTCCAGCTCAGGACATACGTGCACGAATCCTCGAACGGGGACGCTATCTCGAAACCGAGCAAATGTTCCGTGAGGCCGGAGAATCGTGGCCCGTAATGATACCTTCGGAGGAGCTACAACAGGAATTCGCTGGTACAAAGGTGTGTTTCTTTCTGTTGAGACATTTCGTCGAATACTTTGAGTTCACGGGAAAGGTTACTCTGTAGGAAAGTCAGAAGGGTTTTACCGTGTTTCGGAATAACGTTACGTGTAGAATAAACATGACAATGCTGTTTTCTCGGTAGTAATCTGTTCTAATCTGTCATATAGTGCTATTGCTATAGGCGTGCTTCTCATTCTAAGATGAGGATTGCTCCTCACACCCCTAAGATGGATACTATAGTACATTATTTAGATAGCATGTTATCTGTAAAAAAAACGCTATATATGACACAGGTAAGGACATCTCCAACCTAAAATCTCATTTTTCACTCCAAAATGCCATGATTCATCTCTAATAGAACTCTATTTTGCCCCCTTTTGCGAAAGTAACCGTCGTTCTCTTCTTTCGCGCGTTTCTTCGCCAAGTTCGGTAGAGACAGAAAAATAGCGGAGATGAACAGTGCAACACCAATATTGGCGTCCCATTATTCACCCGTAACCAAATAGCGGAAGTTTTACCGTTCGGCTGGAGCTCGCGAGCGACGTCATACAAGCGTTTGGAGTTCGGTTGGTGATGCCCTAAGAATTTATATTTTGGGGAATTTATCCGAGGTCCTTGTTTAGATCACCGTTTACTTTTTAGGCCTATCTTTGTTAAGTAATAGCTATTCGTGCTTTGGAAACAATATATTTATTCTTAGTTATTTTCTCTAGTTTTCCTCCAATTTGTTGTTTTTTGTTAGCATTAGATATCTGAAACACAAGATCTTATTTTTAATAGATATTTGTCGGAACAGTTGATCAGCTAATTTGCCATGCAAGTAGCTCATTTACAAAATAGTTGATATCCGCTGCATATGGTTTGTTCCCTTATAACACCAATTTTGCTGCAAATTAACATTCTCTATATTCAATTAGCATAATTCTTGTTCATATATATATGGCGAAGAAACAATTTAAAAGATAATCATTCAGGACTGAATGCTGCAAGCATTGGTGTTTTGATTGAAACTGGCTTTGTTCTTTTAATGCTTTGCATTAGTTTTCAAGTTCTGGCTGAGGGATGTAGGCAGTGATAATTCTGAAATAAATTGATGGGGATATCAGCAACGATTTCGACACATGAGATGCCGGAGATCGACGGCCACGATCTTGATCTGTATTTTCATCATTTTATGTAGTAGTTTATTTTTATTTTATGTTTTACCGCTTTTGCCCTCATGGGTATTTGGTAGCTATTGTAGCCCAAGGGGCATCTTAGTCTTTTGCTTCTTTGTCATTTTGAGGCCTATTTATAAGGTCCTTTTCTCATGTAATAGTGAGTTTTTATGAAATGAAAATTTGCCACTTATGTTCTCTTTGTGAGTTCACCCTCCTCGATCTCTTAGTGAGTTCGTAGGAGGAAACTAGATCTCTTTGTGAGTTCTAGGTGTTCTTGTTCTACTATTTTCTTTAGTTCTTTTGATCATTTCGTCGACGTGGAGATTTGGATCGGAGCATTTGTGGAGATTGGAATTCCCGTTTGAATCCCTCGTTTTTCCCCTACCATTTCTCCCTCCCCTTGCTCTGACGCCGCCTCTTCCAAGCAGCCCAAAGCCGCCGGCCTGAAATTCAGCCGCCACCGGCCAGCCTCCCGCCGGCCAGCCCAGCAGCCCCTTTCCGCCGTCCCTCCCTTCTACTCCCACAGCCGCCTCACTTCAGCCACCCGCCAACCTGTTTCAGAATTTGAAATCCAAGGCCTGCTGTTACGTCTTTTCATTTAATGGAAATTGCCAACAGCCTGCTGTTACGTCTTTCCATTTAATGGAAATTGCCAACAGCCTGCTGTTACTTCTTTTCATTTAATGGAAATTGCCAACAGCCTGCTGTTACTTCTTTTCATTTAATGAAAATTTCCAACGGTTAGAGGCCCAACCTAATCAGGAAGTTTTCCTGTAATTTAAACCTGAGAATTAAATCTCAGGTTTGAATATTCCGTGAGTTTCTCAAGAGGGGCCACGTCATCCATTTGATTGCTCTCACCCCTCCATGGGGCCGACCACCTCCTCCTCTTGTCTCTCTCCAATCCCCACTTAATTACTACTTAAATGCCTCTTTAATTCCCCTCCCTCTCTTTCTCTTATTTCAAATTTCAAATCTGAAATTGAAATTAAAGCTGCAGTTTTATTCGGAATCTGAAATAAACTTCAGATTTGGAAATTAAAGCCTGCTGTTCTGCACCATTGGAGACCTGGAATTGCTGTCCAAACACTTCCAGCACCCGATAACAGCTATCCAAGGTTTGTACAGGCATTATATGTTGCCGTCCAGACCCCCCCTTAAGGACCAAACTGCTGTCCAGGCTTTCATAGTGGCTGATCAGACAATCTTAGCTGCTGAACAGCGAGACCACAACATGAATATTGCTGTGATTGCTGTCCAACAGGCCTCCGACCACCATCCATAATGTTTCTATACTACATCGACCGTATCCAGTCTGCCTTAGTTGACGTGATCGACGAGCAAAGGTCAAAGGGACATCAGATCATCATTGGACTACAATCATCCTCCACCACTCTGGCCACCTATCCAAGAACGACGATCCTAGGTTCCTTCTTCCTCGGAGTGACCTCGAGTCTAATGCGGAGACTCTTCTTCTGCTAAAGCCTAGACTAGTTGAGCGTATGGACTCCAAAGGTGAAAATTCTCATTATTAAATTCTCATTATTAAATCGTGGACTCTTGTTTATCGTCGTAGTTTTACAATTATTCTTTGTGTTCTCTTGAAATGTTTGATTGATTGATTTCGCTCTTCTCTGCCTAAGCAAGTTAAAAACTAAGAATTCTAAGGATCAAACCATTGTTATAAGCAATAAATTTATCTTGGATTATTTTGTTAAAATTGCTCGCTTTAATTTCGTAAAGTAACTCCATCGCATGTACGTTTCACATCATAAATTGGTAGAAAAGTTCACCACAGAGGAACATTTCAGAGTGAATGCTTCTAGTGATTTAGCTGCTAAACTGAAATCATGCCTACATGATAGGATCATAGTGTTGTTTTATGTCTACAGTAGAGATGAAAAGAAGCCATAGTATAGTTTTCTGCTGACTTGTCAAATAATGAATGGATTAAAAGGCGAGGGAATCAATAGCTGTTGCTGAAATAGTTTTTTGCATTACGCAGCAAGCCTTTGTTTCATTTTATGCAAGAAATAAACATTGGCTATTTGGATTGATGAAGGTTGCCATCCGTGCACATGGGCTGAACATAATATTTTCTTTAAAAAAAATCCGAAATTGCAATTTCTTTATTGATACAAACCGATCAGTTGATTTGTTGGGTTTTATGTTCCATAGTTTTTTTATTGCCATTTGTATTGATTTATAGGCCCTTGTGTCCATTGTGTGATGTTATTTGTAATTGCTTAAACTTCTCATATTTGATATTTCTGAGATTATGTTTCATTTTCTTTTGACTACCATGCATTTGAAGTGGATTTGTTAAAAATTACAAAATTTGTAATTGCTAAGGAACTGTTTGAAGTTTGTATTTACTTGATATGGACTCAACTTGATTTCTGGTTCGAACATTCTTGAATATATATTTTTTTTAAATTAATCTTGAATATTGTTTGAGTCAACTTGAAATGTAACTTGGAATATTTATATAATTAATATATAGCATCAAATATATAATGAAATAGAAGTTGATCTTGGATTGAATCGAAATCACGTTCAGGCTGACTTGGAATGGAATGATTTCGAGTTGAATTTTTTCAACTTGAACCAATTTTAGTTTTGAGTCAAACATTAGTCTCTTGTAATCAATATTTTAAAAATTGGGTCAAGCATAACGTGCTCAAACTCAATTAATGTCGGCCCTAATTTAAATCCTTTAGAAGGTTCTACTTTTTTATATGTTATACTTTTAACTATTATTGTTTTTTGGTTGGGAGATTGATCAGGATCATGTCATTTCATGATTTTGGTTTTGTTTCATAGTTTCATTATTGTTTCCTGACTAGTATCAGCCCACTGGCATTCTTGTTGGAGGTTTACAACAAGAAGTTTTTTTGCATGCAGAGTGAGAAATTAAAACCCATTTTCTACAAAATTTTCATGAGTCCAAAAATATGCTAAGTAGAATGAACGAATCAATAGCTTTATAGATTGTTATTCTTACATTTAGAATCAAATCAAAATCATTCTAAGTCAATTTGAAATTAGAAATTACTGGGACAAATACAGTCATATGACTTATTGCGATTTAAGGTTGAATATATATTATGGATTAACAATATTTTTGCAAACAAATCATAGTAGTTTTGTGATGCGCCTTGGAAGTAAAAACAAGAAATAAAAGAGAAGAACAATATAGGAACACAAAGATGGGGTCTGGTTTTCTTATTTCTCTTCAACAAATAATGAAAGATAGAATTGATCTACTATTTTAGAGGTAGGTTAGCTCTCTCACAAACCCTAGATGCTGCTAGGAACTCACAACAAACACTATGAAAATAAACTCAATAATATCTTACTCTAAACCCTAGACAACTTCCCCTTAAATGGCCCTAGAACACAAAATCATAAATAGAACCTTCATGAATAATTAAACATAGTTTAAAAAACCTTCACAAACAATTAAATATAATTTAGGAAACCTTCATAAACAACTAAACATGATTTAAAAAACCTTCATAAACATAATTTAAGAAACATTCCTAAACAATTAAACATATTTTAGGAAATATTCCTAAACAATTAAACATATTTTAGGAAACATCCCTAAATAATATTCTCTCTCTTATTTAAATTCAAATTGAAAATCTTTCCGTAAATAATTTCCTCCTTATTTCTCCTCCTAATATAATGAATTACAGCTTTGTTGGGCCTCACAAGGGGGGCCGAATTTTCCTTGTTTTATGCTCTAGGTTCTTCCCATCCAGATGGCTGGTTCGGTCCATGCTGGACCGTAGGGGTGGAATCCCTTTGAGCATGCCCCCCCTCTCCCCCCCCA